ATATTTTTTTTTTAACAAAAATACACACTTATAATACGAAATATTATGTTGTCAACACAACATACTTTGTTAACCAAAATGCGATACGAAATGTTATATTATTAGTTTTTACTTATGTTATCTCTTAGAGTAAGACATTTTAATTCGAAAATATTAAATAACAGTATGTCATTCTAGCTATTAATCCTGCCTAAAATCAATCAAATTTAAAAAATGCACACTTACATACAATAATAGTGTACTGTCGATATTTCAGTTCGAAAATCTGCAATTTCTATTAAGAAAGTATGACAGTTTAACAATTGATAGCTAACAAAAGCCTCTCTTAAAAAGAAAAAAAAAAACAACCAACTCGCCTTTGCTTTTCTCTACAACAAAGTTAGAATAAAATCACTAACATAGTACCATTTACTTGGCTTATTTAACTCAAAATGTTCATTTCACACACTATCTCCCATTTTTTAGGCATGGACGTTAAATCTCTTCCCCAACACCACAATACATTCTCCGGCCATCTGCCCGCGCCACCTCCCGGCGCCGGGTCAGCACACCACCGGGCCCTCTTCCGTTGGGCCTTCTATTGGGGCAAAGAGGCCCAATTCCTGTTCAACAACTGGCCCGACAATAGTTCGGCAATGTATGCACTTTCCTTGATACTCGTCTTCACTTTAGCCGTCACCGCCGAGTTCTTGTCCAAACTGGACATCGACAAAGATGGTTCTAACAGGATCGGGTCAATTTTCTTCCGGGCTGGAATATCTGCGGTACGGGCCGGGTTTGCGTACATGATTATTTTGGCCGTGATGTCGTACAACGGCGGCGTGTTCATTGCGGCCGTTTTGGGCCATGCGGTTGGGCACGTTGCTTTTGGGAGTGGGCTTGCGAAGAAAGACGTTAGGCCCAATTGATTGAAATAGTGGGCCTGATTTGGGCTATGAGCGTGTGGCCTTATTTCGGTGTGAACTTGTTGAGGCTTTGATTTTTTTATTTACCAAATGTTTTTCTTGCCTATTTCTGTTTTATTCATATTTATTTAGTTTCTGTAAAAGGATGTTGAGAAATTTCTGTGGTGATTTCTAATTTTCTCTATTTATAAAATAATTATTTTAATAATTCTGTTGATTCGTAAAGTATTTAGCTTGTCGAGCCAAGCAAATTTTTGTAGCCATGAAATCTATATCACGATTTACATAATTCAATCTCAATTCCCTTATGTTTTACATAGCATAATTAACCCAAAAATGACTAAAATGAGTGAAATTAACAAATATTTAATTTACAGGGCATAATTAACCCAAAATTAAACTCAAACATCGTTAATTTATCTGTATTATTATTGACTAATTGTGCCTTTTTCTCAGTAACCGCACTCTAGAAGACCATCACCTAAACTTTTCCCTTGAAATTCCTTTTTCCCATAAAATGGGGGAAAAAAAAAGGAAAACTGAAGAAAAAAAAGAGTCTTCATGACTCCATAGTCCATAGAATCTCTTTATCTAACAACAATCACAGTATCGTACACCTGTCCAATCCGAGGGCCGAAAAAAGCCTAATGCCACCAGGCCACAATCTTGACCAGACGTTCGCCCGTGTTGGAGCAGTGGCCTCAAGAAGATGCTCCTTTTCACCATCCGACGAATCACGGTTATCGGTTTCATGGGGTTCACCTGGACCCTGTTGCACCAGATCAGGGCCACCGACCTCGGAAATCTCTCCAGGTTTCTTGTCGAACAATCCCTTAAATTGTTGACGAGCCCGTTTGTGAACCTCCTGCATTCGTTAAAAATGGTCTTAACTCGAGTGATGCTAACAGTAATAACAGGAAAAAGTCGAGCTTTTTTTAAAATAAACTACAGTTTATACGAAAGTTGAATTTTATATCAACCTGTTCTTCCTTTTTAAGTTTAACGAGAGCTGACTTGGCAGTTGATTCCGATGATTTGTCCATCATCATCTACAAAACATGAGGCATAGTTAAAGGAGTGCTCCAAAATGCAAAATTGCATTGTTTAGTCCTACTGGTTTAATGCGATAGCAATTCTAGTCCCAAGGTTTCAACATTTCAATTTTTTGGTCCTGTGATTTAATATTTTGCTCCAATTTTAGTCCTTTGACGACTGAAATTGCAACAAACTCCCATATTCCCAGATTTTAGATTTAGCAATTTAAGTCCTGTAATTTAAAATTTGTTGTAATTTAAGTCGTGTAATTTATTTATTTATTTATTTTGGCAATTTCAGTCTTTAAAAAGCTAAAATTGTAGCAAAATATTAAATCACTGGACCAAAAGGCAAAAAAGTGAAATCTTGGGACTAGAATTGCTATGACATTAATCCAACAGGACTAAAAATGTTGCATTTTTGCCTGTTGGAAAAAGTAACGAATTTTGGAACTTGTCTTTTGAGTAAAGATGAGATTTCTTTCACCTTGTTGAAATCTGCTCTAGCTTCTTCAAAATCTCCAGCAGCCATGTGTGCCATTCCTCGGCGGTAAAGAGCTTTTGAATGAACCGGGTTAGTGTCCAATACCTGTATATATATATATATATATATATATATATATATATATATATACATATTTTAAAAAAATAAATCGAAATATGCACCAAACTAAAATTGAAAAAAAACATGATCAACTAATTACTCATGTTTGTAACCAAAATAAGTTGGAAGGATTGATTACCTTGTTACAAGCTTCAACCGACTTTCTGAATTCGCCCAGCTTCAGCCAACACGCAGCAACGTTCAGATTCAACAAATTCTTCAACCATTTTGCAAACAAGTAAAAAAAAAAATCATCAATAATAAAAATCAACCCATTTTTGGAATAATATAAATTTTTAATGTGTGAATGGTCAGAAATTTAAACCCCTTCAAGCACTTACTCTTGTGTCTGAAAACTCTTTTCCCTCATCGTCATCTTGAGGATTGACGTGATTAAATTCCCGAAGCACCTGCAAGCAAATAACAAAATTCAGTTTATACAAAGATCTCAAGATAAGCAACTTGTGTAAAAAAGTAGCCTTGAGGTTTCCCATTTAAAAATAAAAGACAGTAAAAAATAAAAGTAAAGAACTCAATTACTGTAAAGAAAGCGTATCGAGTAATAGATACGTACATGCTCGTATTTGGCCTTGGCAAGTTCATATTTGCCTTCTTTGAATAGCCTATTACCCTGAAATAAACGAGACCGCAATAAGTTTATCTAAGCATGGACCAAACTCAAAATTATTTTTAATTTTGTTGAGAGCTTGAAACTTATTACAGCTTGAATCAATCAATCTGTATGATGACAGTAAGTACAGATTGATAAAAACAACAAGCTAATTCAAATACGTTAAACGCTCCTATTTGGCCTTACCAATTTTTCTTCTTCGTCTTTTTTTTTTTCATTTTATTTTATTTATTTACCCGCATAACTACTAAAGAGTGGAAAAGTGGTTTTTAAACTATCAATTCAAGTATAACATTATACCTACCGTGCCTTTAATCTTCTCAACATCATTCATAATCTCTCTGAAGTTGAAGCCAGTCCAGTCCTGTACCAACAAGGCACATAATCGTTAAGCATTTTTAGTCTTGTTGGTATAACGTCATATCAATTTTAGTCCCATAATTCTAACTTTTCACCTTTTGGTCCTGTGGTTTAATATTTTGCTACAATTTCAGAACTGAAATAGCAAAAAAGAAAAAACAAAATTAAATTACAGGACTTAAATTGTAACAAAATTCTAAATTACAGGACATAAATTGCTGATTGAAAATCTGGGAATATACGGGAATTCGTTGCAGCAAAATATTAAATCACAAGACCAAAAAGTAAAATGTTGAAACATTGGGACTAAAATTGTTATGTCGTTAAACCAACATTGAGTCTAAATTATACGATAACCATCCATCACTACTGAAATTCCCTAAGCAATCCTCAGATTGATTAGATAGTTTCTTTTTCAAGGTCTAAAATTTGCAAAACCTTTTGCTTCTCATAATCAAGAAGCTCAATTTCCCATTGGATGTAAGCACCTTGAGGAACTTCGGCTGGCCTATTTCATATTTAAAAAAGGATAAAAAAAAATAAAAATAAGGCTAGTTACAATTCAATTCAAATAATCGAAGGCAATACTAAAACTAACCTTGAGAATTTATCGTAAGCATAATCAGGGGGGCATGTGACAAGAGCTATCTCCCCAGGCAACATTAATCGAGTGCACATTTCAAACCCTTCAGGCACCTAGAACATATAAGCATATTAAATTAAAACATCAACATATTTAATATTAAATAAATAATCAAATATTGTCATGATAAATTGATAACATGTAATGCTAAAGTAATTAGTAAAAAAAAAACATAGACAAATTATGGGACAGTAAAAAAATTTCAGGTCTTAAATGTGGCTTACAAGGCCTTCCCCCGATCTGAACTCAAATGGCTGACCATTATTATCGATTTTTGTGTCATAAAAAACAGTTTTTTCTTCATTGAGAAGCATCGCCTTGTAGTGGACATGTAACAGGCTGTCTTGAAGAGGGCAATCCATGGGAAAGTCACCTAGTTATTTGAAAAAACATAGGGATATTTTAGAAAAATGAAAATGAAAATGTAAATAACTAAATAAGGGGAGGCTATTCAAATACATATAACAGAATAATATTTAGTAAAATTTGAGCAGCACCTCTTCCATCACGTAATCGGCGTTTGATTAAGCGTCCATCTCCAAGCACATCACGCACCTGAGAAAATTCCGAAAGTCATTCCAGGAAAATTCAACTAAAAAGATGCCCACAAAAAAAAATATAAAAAAAAATCATATTAATGAACAATCCTAAAGGCAAAAGGCACCAACTTTACCTGAACAAAGTGCACTAAGTCCACTTCAAAGTGGATTTCGGCAATATCGTCAATTGAGGGAATTAGGGGACTTTGAGTTAAATAATCCTTTGTTACATAAATCACCGCCTTTTCTCCACGTGACATTGTGCCAATTCCCATCTCGAGACCTTTCGGAATCTGATCAGATCAGAGGTATATAGATTCGTATCCTTTTCTTTTCAAACCAGAATGTATTTACCAAAATCTTTAGTAAGAAATTCGAAATGTATGAACAATATGGTTTGTACCTCAGATTTTCCAAATGTAAAGAAGAACGGTTCTCCTTGGGTATGTGAAAAAATCATTTTTCCATTCCCTGATTTCGCTGAAATCCTAGAAGAATCGAAGATAAAATATTTTCATATTCAAAACAATAATTACAGAGGACTGAAATAAAAGTGGGAATGGGTCAAAATAATAGAAAGAGATGAGAAAGCTAAAAAACAAGTTATTACCAAGCTTTAACTTCATAGGGTTCTCTTGGTTGTTCCCAGCCTTGCCCTTCTTCCTTTACCTTCTTTAAGACACCCAAATTCTCAGTGATGATCTGAAATTTTGATAATCAACATTCAAATTAGCATATTTGAGGGGAAAATAATGTGAGAAAAATAAAATTTTCAAAGTGAACAAACTTTTGAGCAAAGGTAAAAACTTTCCCACAAAACAGAAGAAAATTTGGATATCCTTGAAATAAAATAGTATTTGCCAGCCACTCAAATACCACATAAAGAAAACACAAGTGTTCTAACTTTAGAATTCCCACAAAACTGTGAGGTCATTTGAATATGGCAATTTAAGAATTAGAGTTAAAGGATTACAGAACTAAGTATAATTAGCTAAGTATTCGATTTAGAAATAAGGAAAAAAAAAACACAGCCTACCTTGACTTTAGAAAAATCAATCAACTCAATCTCGAAATGAAGTTCATCATCCTTGGGAAAGCCATCGGCAACTGCCACAGGGCAATCCTCTTCACCATAATGCAGCTCAGGTTTCATCTTGAACTGGAATAAGGTACAAATCAGGCAAATATTATAAGCTAAATGCAAACCAAAACCAAATCAAATCAACTTCACGAGTATTCTCCTAAACTTTCTACACTGTTCGAAACGCACCAAAAGCAACAATATTGTTTGGCTCATTTCGCACTAAAATTACCATTGCAACTTCACCACTCAACATCGTAGGAAGGCCTTCCAATAGTCCCAATAACATCTTGCTTTTACCCAAAACCTGCCTTTTCGGGATACCTTTGCCTATAAGCAGAAAATGTGACCATAAAAATTACTGGAATATCTGAAGAAAAAAAATTCACACTACATGAAGTCTAAATTATGAAAATATCACTTTTTTTTTTTCTATAACTCACCCCCAAAATCTGCTCGAGTGGACTCAACAACAACACCGTCGAGTGTTCGAACTGTGCAGTGATATACAACCTGAAGAAATTAGCTCAAATCTGCTAAAATTGCTCATTTCGTTACTATATCTTGTCAACGATATTGATCATTGCTTAAAAAGGAAATGACTAAACATGAACAATGAAAAAACCTGATCACCATCAGATGGGTTTTTTTCACCGGCTCCTGGCCTTATCAGAGCTTTCATCAAGCTACCCGGCGTTATTTTCTTTCTCCTGCAAACAATTCACTACATGAGTTTTCCAATACCTTGAAACTAAATTGACCCAGAAAAAAAAAAAGAAGGGACAATAGGGTTCACCTTTTCTCATCCTCGGAAGGCGGCTTTTTCTTCTGGGGTTTGTATTCTTGCTCCGAGTCATCAATCACGGCCATGTTATCACTTTCCAGAGAAGAATTTGCAGAAAAGTTTGCTTTTTTCAGCTCAATCTTGGGTTATAATGGGGATTAGGCGAATAATAGCTCTACAAAATTAGGTGAAAGTCGTTGGCATAATTGGATCTGTGCTATGAGCTCTTGATTTTAAATTTCCAACTGCTTACTTGAGCATATGTTCTATACATTATCAAAAACTCAAAATATATTGACATGTGAATGTAATCACTAACTTGTTGTAGTGTTGTTAATATAAACGAGCTTGACTCGACTTGGCTCGAGCTCAGCTCGTTAAGGCTCGAGTTCGAGATTTTAACGAGCCGAACCCGATCTCATTTAATACTCTTTAGAGCTCCTTCGATAATGCTCGAACCCGGCTCGTTAATAGTGATACACAAGTCGAGTTCGAGCCCAATCTCGATTTCTGGCTCGTATATTTAACGAGTTAAACTCGATTCGGCTTGTTAAGGGCTCAAGGTTGAGCACCTTAAGCTCAAACTCGGCTCGGCTCGTATTCATGCCCAACTGGTAGGCAAAGCCGCAAAATTAATGGTTAGAACTCATACTATTTTTAATAATTACGCATTCCTTTTCTTTAAAAAGTAACATAAAAATGAAATTTCTCAATATATAATGCATTATTTTTTTAATTTATGTCTCATCACACAAAAAAATTGTATAATGTAACTAGAGATCGAATTTCCAAAACCTCATTTTTACTACTGCACTTATAAACCTCCAATAACAATAAACCTCATAAACCTCTTTTTAATGGGTCTCACATGTTTCTCATTTACTTTTAATTAATATTATATATTCATATTTTTTTAGATATATTTCAAAAATAAAGATCATTGTTTATTTATTTATATTATTTTCCATTTTATTAAATTTAGTTAACTATTTATATTTATATTCATTTAAATTTATTACATTATTATAAAATCAAACCATAAATGAGATAAAAATTAAATATTACAACTAAATAAAATATTTATATTTTTAATGAATTGTGTCAATTTTTAACAAAGTAAACAAAATAATATTTGTAACTAATATAAATTATTAAATATTAATTGTTAATTTTTTTTTTCCAAAAAGAGAAAAGAGCAAATGAATTGAAAAATTAATTAAGAGTAATTTCCTTTAATCATAGTTCAGATTGATACTTAAAAAAAAAAAAATCGAAATATTAACAAGAAAGAGAAAAGGAAAATCGAAATAAAGGCAAAGAAAATGATAAATTGAACATGTACGTGGGTTGATTGTTTCAGCTATCACGCACGCATGCAAATATTGTTGTACGCCCCACGCGCTTAAATGTAGTTGATTTATTTCAACTGTGTGTTAACATCCTCTATATGAGTCTTTATATTATTTAAAAAAAAAAAATTATCCCCTCCTATTTTTGTTTTTTGTTGTTTTGAAAAGCAACACGCTAATTAAGAATTTTTTTTCTTACCAATATTAATCTCATTTAATGGATGTTATGAGAAACGATAGAGATTGAATATGAAGAGACCATGTCTATTAGATGGAGAGTTAAAAATGATAAAATATGAACAAAATAGCCAAAACGATATTTATTTAAGCAGTGATCAATTAAGCCAGAACGACGAATAATAAAAATAAGAGGAAGTATTATTTTGGAGATTTGAGGGAGGTTTGTATATACAAACTTGGTTTATGTTTGTAAACCTCAAACCTCTCATCCATAATAGAAAATCTCACGGTTTGAATTTTTGAACTTCATTCAAAATCCATTAAAGATGCTTTTAGTATTTATCCTTAACATAATTGTATGTTTTAGACCAGATAAGTATAAAATATTGTGTCAAAATGCACTAACATGTAATATGGCTCTTATATGGTTTTCTATCAGAATTTTATGAGTCTAATGGAATTCAATGTGTTACAAAATGAAATTACTTGTATTAGTACAATGTATAAATGTTGATTCAAGACATTCATGGACTACTCAAAATTTGACGCTTGAATAAAAGTTTAGATGTACATAAAAAGCATTAAAATATTACATTAAATTAGTCCTCTCTATCAAGAGAGTAGAGCGAACAAATTCGAGTGTCATCGCATTAGCCCGTGAACTCGAACTCACCAATCCACAACCACAAATGATGGTCTTGAATGATATTGGGCCTACATCAATCAAAGCCCAACATAAAAGATAAACCAACATTAAGGAATGCCCTAAAGAAGAAAATGGCTCAAGTACATATAAAGAAAATGTTTGTTTATAAAATTTTTTTGTTTTGTTTGGAGTTTTTGATTTGGTTAATTTTCAAAAAGATGTTATGGTTAGATGTTAGTGGGTATATTAAAATAATATTTATAATAAAATAATTAAAATTGATTTGATGTAAAAGTAAGAGAGAGAGAGATTTGAAGTGATGGTTAGTTAAAATAATGTGAGTGGATGAATAGTGAATTAAGGTTGATGTGGTTGTATGAATGATTGATTGATATTATTTAATTATATTGATATTTTTAATGATAGTGGGGTTGAGTTAAAATTGAGTTAAAAAAAGTGATTGAGTTAAAATATTGAATTTTTTTTTTGAGAAATTCAATAAACAAACATCTCCTTAGAATACATATACACGAACCATTTGAACTTACTTTTTATCCTTACGAGCTATTAAACTTAGTTTCAAATATGAATAGTGAAATCTAATTAATACACTCGTGTGAGATATGGAAAGAAGATCAAATCATAATGTCACCTCTTTTTCTATCTCATAAATTGCGGCAGTTACTTATATGATTAAGATATTTTATTTTTTTTAAAAAAAACTAAAACATGCTGTTTAGATTAAAAAAACATTTATCTTCTCAACTTTTACATAAATAAACAAATACATCACTTTCTAAAAAAAAACTACTAACTAACCACAACTAAACTAGAAAATGTCAATCTTAGGATCAGTAAGACCTTGGCATATAAAAGTAATCTAAAAATAAATTATTCATAAAAAATCAAAGGCACAGAAAAAAGCTGAATATAAACTAAAAATAAGAAAAAAAAAATCAATAACATTGTTTTCAGTTTATTTTACGTTTGATTTCAACTATTTTACGAGCTATTAAACTTAGTTCCAGATATGAATATTGAAATCTAATTAAATACACTTGTGTGAGATATGGAAAGAAGATCAAATCATAATGACACCTCTTTTTCTATCACATAAATTGCGGCAGTTACTTATATGATTAAGATATTTTAATTTTTTTTAGAAAAACTAAAACATGCTGTTTAGATTTAAAAAGAGCATTTATCTTCTCAACTTTTACATAAATAAACAAATACATCACTTTCTCGAAAAACAACTACTAACTAACCACAAATAAATTAGAAAATGTCAATCTTAGGATCAGTAATGACCTTGGCATATAAAAGTAGTCTAAAAATAAATTATTCATAAAAAATCAAAGGCACAGAAAAAAGCTGAATATAAACTAAAAATAAGAAAAAAAAATCAATAACATTGTTTTCAGTTTATTTTATGTTTATTTCAAGTTTATTACATTATGTCTAAAATAACATTGTTTTAGTTTATTTTAAATTTATATTCAGTTTATTACATTATCTCTAAAATTTATTTAAAATTAATTTAAAACTTTTGATTTATCTTAAGTTTATTATTTATTTTTTTATTAAATTACGAAAAAATAAATAAACAAAAATCAAATGCAAAAAAAAAATGAATATATACTAAAAAAACAATCAATGATCGTAATTAAATCATCCATAACATCAAATGAACACTCAAAATCGTTCAAAAACACAATTATATCCGCATTAAACTCATCCGGATTCAAGATCCGATCAAAATTGGGTCGGATTGACCGACATAGCCACTTTCAAGCCCAATTGTCTTGTTGTATTGGCACATTTAACAGAGAGTCGATAATGATATCAGTATTTGACTTCATATCATTTACTACCTGTTATCAGTTTTCGTTATATATTCTAATTCAGAAATATTTAATTTGGTACAACAAATAAATAAAAAAATTATCAATTTTACACGCCAATAAAAACTTATTATCCCCAAGAAAAATGAATTTTCTCTATTGACATCACCTTTAACCTTTACAGATTACAAATTGACCCCAATTAAAATGATTGACATTGAAATGCTAGACAGCACAATTGTTTGGTGAATCAAATATTTCTATCAATACTTGACTATGTACCAAAGTTATTAATTTAATTCACCTTTTAGCATCAACAGCCAATTGGTATTTATCTTATTTTTTTTTAGTTTAATTTGGCCGTGTTATGTGGCAGGGATCACGGTAGACTGCCTTATTAATTTTTAGATTTTTTTTTCTAATAATATTTATCAGTACAATTAGAAATGTCATTTTTCATAAAAGAAGAAGAAAACTGATACTGATAGTTGGTGAGCAACCGCTGAATGTAGGAAGATAATAGATATCTTCGTACAAAAAGACTTTGGTCGTGTACAAACATATAGTTTATGATAAATAATTGATTTATCATATATGTATCAACACAAGTTATAGGTTGAGACAGACTTTATACTTCTTAACTCGTTCATTTTTTTTTTTAATTTAATAAAACTACATATTTGTAATATTATATATTTATTAATATTTTTTTTAAAAGTATACGTCATCTGTGGATAATAATTATATTTGTCTGATAGCAATTCACGGATATATTTAATTATTAATAGTGTGTGCTGGTGGAGTAGAAAACAACTTAATTACGTTTGGATAAATTAACAATTAAGTGATAGTTGATATATTAGTTTTGACTTGATAAGTGAAAACTTCTACTTGTTGATTGAAAACCAAGATATAAAAATTTAACTGATACAATTATTATGGAGCTGGTTAGATTTCGGGAACGTAAATACTGAAAAATTATTGTTGATAATTTGATATATTTTTTAAGTTTTTTTTTTTTTCATATTTTTTAGAGAATTCTATATATATATAATAAGAATTAACATTTAACAAAAATAGTAGCAAAAAAATAGGAGAGAATTTAATGCAACCTATAAATAGTAAGTTTTATTATTTTTTTATTTTTATCTTTAAAAAATCATACAACATTAAATGTTGCATTAAATTTTGGGCTTTAATTCATTTTATTATTTAAAAATTTCA